AGAACTAAAGCAGATTTACAAGAAAAAAACTAACAAGCCCATTCAAAAGTGGGCAAAGGATATGAACAGACACTTTACAAAAGAAGACATACGTGAGGCCAACAAACATATGAAAAAATGCTCATCATCTTCATGTTTCTTATGCTTAGGTTACTGAGCTTGGATCTCTGGCTTTGTAGATTCCACTATATCTGAACATTTTAAGCCATTATTTCTTTACAAATTGTTTTTCTCTTCTCCACTATTTCCTTCCCTTCAATGACTCCACTTAAGTGCAATTTAGGCCACTTGGAATTGTCCCACAGTTCATGGATTCTCTTGCAATTCAACTTTTTTTCCTTTTGCATGTCATTTGGGTAATTTCTATTGGTGTCTTTGAGTTAACTAAGCTTTACTTCTGCAGTGCTTAACCTACCATTTATCCCATCCAGTGTACATTTATCTCAGACACTGATGAATCAAACATCTCTAGAAGTTTCATTTAGATCTTTTTTGTATCTTTCGTGACTTTAACTTTCTGCACGTGCTGACTATACTTATATTAATTATCATTTTGTTAATTCTAACATCTGTGCTAGTTTCCGCTGATTGATTTTTTTTTCTCCCCAGTCTGGGTCATATCTTCTGCTCCTCTGGAGATGTGATAATCTTTCAACACAAACATTTTCACTTTACCTTCTTGGGTTCTGGATAGCTTTGTATTCCTGTAATTGACTTCAGCTCTGTTACGAAGCACATTAAGTTATATAAAAGCAATTTGATACTTCTGAGCCTTGCACTTTAGATTTGTTAAGGGGAACAGAACAGCATGTAGTCTAGTGCTAATCATCCTGCCCTACCAAGGCAAGACACTTCTGAGACTCAACTCTCCATGGACTCTGGGGTCTCCCAGCTTGGCTGGTGGGTGCTGGCATACATTCCCAGCTCTCTGTGAGTACCAGGCACAATTTCCTCACATTCTTTCAGATGGTTCTTTCTCTGGCCTCTGGTAGTTTCCTTACATATAAGGGATGCTCAGTTGTCTGCTGAATATGAAAAGGGGCAGATTGCCTTTCTGATATTTGGACCCATGAACTCCCTGGACTCTTAGCACTGTCATAACTACTCAGGCCATGCCAGGGTTCCTCCTTTCTGCACTGCTGTGGGGAAACTCTCTCAAGGCAATCATTTCCTACTTTACCCCAAGCCAAGGGTCTATGGCTTACAGGTAAAACTGTTTTGGCCTTGGCATACCACTGGGGCTGGGATCTATCAAGATGTAACCACCCTGCCCTGGAATGGTATTCTCTTTGGAGTTCATAACTGAGCTCGTGAACGGGAACAAGAAGAGCCAGGATGAAAGTTCTTTAACTTGGAATGACTGATTGGTTTTTCAATTGAGGATTGCT